GGGCAGGTGTGGCCCAGGCTCTGAGTCAAGTGGAAGGCGGATCTGTGTAGTGGGGGGCATCGGGCCCGACCCGGGCTGGAGCCACAGGCTTGAGGGAAGGACCCCGGGGGACCAGAGGGAGGAGCTCAGCTCAAGGGGGTGGTGCCGACAGGCGGCAGGAGGTAGAAGACAGACCTCATTTATCCACGGATGCAGCGGGCACGGAAGGGAGAGTTTATTCAGAACGGTGCTTGCAGAGATGCTAGGATAACCTGGGGAGGTGGCGATTCTCTCTCCTCGCCTTCCCCGGGCTGCCCTTCTCTGCCCCCGGCCCCCACTCGCTGCAGCCCCCTGCCCATGGCCTTTGCTCAGACCGTGCGTGTGACAGCCTGTTCCTGCAGGTGTGGTGGGGGCCGCCCCCAGCCCCGAGTTTCAGTGTCCATGCGTGGACCCCGTGCAGCCCCCTGGGGGTCTCACTGCCTTGCGGATGAGTAAATTGTAGACATTTGAGTGCACGATGTGAGCAAGTAGTCATCAATCCTGAGGCCCGGGTGTCACAGACGTGGAGTGCTGTTGGAGACTCCACTTGAGAAAATACCCTTTTCTGAGCCCCCCCCCCCATATACGTGTGTGTATATGATTAAGCCAGAGCCAGCAGGACCTCTGCATTTTTATCTGCAATCTTCATGGGCCTGCAGCTCTAACTGATAAAAGTCCACTCCAGCCGGGAGGTGCTCTGTTCTTTTGTTTTGTTTTGTTTTTTAATGCGTCTTATGTCCCAGGTCAGTGTTGCTGTGTTTGCCGTGGTGGTGGAAGCAGTGAACAGGAAAACTAGCTGCCCCCTCCCCGCCGTCCGAGGTGTCAGCGGGCTCAGGAGCCAGTTTAAGTTGTTATGTTTTCTTGGAACAATTTCATGTTTTCCCAGAACTCTCTAGCGGTAAAATATGGAGCCTTTGTGAAAATGGCCTTTACTGTCATTACTTCTGTTTTTCCTTGTTCGTAGCCACCTGGGCTGGGGGGTGGGCAGGTGAGAGAAATGTTTTCTGGGGGTCATTGCACTTTACCAACCTGTGTTTTTATAGCCCTCCCCCCACCCCACCCCAGAGGCCGGTGATGCCGAAATGTTTGGCAGGGGTGCCAGGTAACCTTCCCTCCTCCAGCCTGGCACTGACTTTTCCGAGGGAGGCTGGGTTTCGTGGCATGGCTGTCTTCGGAGCCTGCCTGCCCCCCCTCACCGCGGGGTGAAGAACCCGTATGGCCTCTCTGCCCCCCCACCCCCGACAAAATGCAGGACACCCAGTCCTGTTTGAGTTTCAGATGAACAATGAATAATTCTTTAGCGTAAGTATGTCCCATGCAATATTTGGGAAATACTTGTAATAAAATGCTTTTGTGGTTTATCTGAAATGCAGATGTGGCTGGTGCCCTCTCTCTCACCTGGCCCTGGTGGCCCTGTGTGCCTTGCAGTCCTGCCTGGGAGTTAATGATTACATGTTTTCCCAGGGCTTTGCTTTTCCCATGGGTCTGCTGATCTCATGGCTCAAGCCCCGTATTAAGGTCAAGACCTTCTGCTCAGATCTCTGCCTTGAGCGCCCGGGCTGTCATGCAAAGGACCAGTGTGCAGGTGTCCACTTTTCCTCTTTGGACTCGTCCAGTGGGACCTTCTGCACCCGCACTTTGGTGGCAGACACATCCTTTTGTGACCATCAGCCCCGGGCCGATGCGAGGGGCTGTGGCGGGGGCCACATGAGGAGGTAACCTGGGGGCTCGGAGCATCCCGTTTGCTCTTGAACTGTCTCAGACATGCAAGGCCACGGGCTTGCATGGTGCCACGTTCTGCTGGGGGCTGTCCACGTGCCCATCTGCCAGATGCAGACACTGAGGCCTGAGCTTCCCCAACCGTGAGCTTTCAGGGGCCAGTGCCTATCCTTCGTGAGAAGAGCCAGCAGACCCCTTGTGCCGGGAATGGCCTCGTTTGCCTCCGCCTGTGCCCGGCTTCCCCTGACGGGTCACTCCTCATTAGACAGGGATCCCCTCCTGTGAGTGTGAGGCCACCTTCCATGTCCCCTGTGCATCCCCTGGTCCCTGCTGGGTTCGGAAGAGGCACAGACAGGCGGTAAGGGGGGAAGACGCAGTTCTTTATTGGAGCAGAAGGTGCTCTGGGCTAACTTACGCCCGTCGGGGCAGGAAGAAGTTAGAGGAAGCCCCTCGTGATGGACCGCACACCTGCGTCCATGCTGACGGCTGAGGCCGTGAGCGCCGCACCTCTCCCACTGCCCCTCACGCCCAGGAGAAGGCAGGTTTGTGTCTCCACGCCCCTGTCCTCCAGTCTGTGCTCCTGCCGAGCTCGTGAAGGGACAGCCTGCGCTCGGCTGCAGGTGCTTCTCCTAACAGTCCCAGGGCAGATTCCAGGGACAGTGTCCCAGAACAGTTCATTCAGAAGTTCTGGCGCTTGGGTTTTTTTTTTTTTTTTTTTTTTAAAGGTTCCCCAAGTAACTTCTGGGGCCAGGATGAAGAACCAGTGTTGTAGAGGATACACTTCCCTGGAACCTGGGACATAGTTGCAGATAATTACATGTATGCGATTCTTTAACATATTTACACGTGAATGTTTATGTTACTTGTTTTAACATGTTATAATTAGACGTAATATGGAAATGATTGTACACTGTTATATTATTTCTGTAGGATAGCTGTTACTGTATTATATGTTACAAAGTCTGTGCCTACCCTATACCGTGTAACTACGCCCGGCACTTATTTTTCCATGGGTAGATGGTAAAGGCAGGAAGGAGCACGTCATCGCTAGCCGTTGCAGCCAGGCAGGTGGGGACCCTGCTAGGGTGGAGCCGGGAGCACCCTGATCCTGTCCCCAGCCACCGCTGTCTTGTCCCTCCCCACATTTCGCACTCCTGTGGTTGGGAAGGCATGAAGCTGAGCTCACAAAGGCGTCTTGCAGTGAATACGGAAAAGACACATTGGCTCTGAAATCTTAATTCCTAATCACACGGGGGTTAGCTTTGGAAATTTTAATTGAAAAAAATAAAATCTTCCTGGGTGATTTGGATGATCTGCTCTTTGAGACTCCTGACTGGTCACCGGGCCAGTCAAACCAGTCAAACGTCTGGTCTTGGGGGGGGGGTCCAGAAGGGCACAGAGGCCAGCATGAGTGAACGGATGGATCTGTTGTCAGGCTCTCACACTCAGGGCGGGAGGACCAGGAAGGTGACTGATGTCAGGGAGGAGAGCCTGAGGTGGACCTGGAGAGGGCATGCTCGTGAAGGGGCGGTTGTGGGGGGCTTGCTGGAGTTCGTCCCTGCCCCTGGGTGTTACGGGGCAGAGCCTTCTGATGGTCACCATAAACCAGAAATCTGGATTTGCGTATGGAATCTTTAGGTTAGACATTTAAAACCCTGTTCAGGCCAAACAAAACTCTCTGTGGGCCCCCATGGTCTTGGCCCCTTCCCCAAAGACGGTGCAGATCCGCTCGGCAGGAAGGGAGTCCCTGACCCCAGTCATGGTCTTGCCCTTCCCCTGGGGAGGGCGTGCATTTCTGGAGTAGCTCCTTTGCTTGTGTGCACCTGGGTGTCTGGTGACGCCAGGAAAGTCTGGGATGGAGATGGGAGCGTCCCCGGTGGCTGCCGGCACCCCAGGACTGGCCCTGCGGGGCAGAGCGGTGGCGTGCTTCTAGCTCCAGCGTGCGTTTGCTGTCGTTAAACAGAACTCTGGAAATAAACAGTGGGTGTCCGTTTTCTCACGATGAACACAGAATTGTCGCTGGGTGAACCGTGCCCCTCCCCCCCCCCGGGACTTTTCTGAGCCTCCCCTGCTCATGAAACACAAGAGCAGGGGACGCTCACCCAAGCACCTACTGGGCCTGGAGCCTGGGCAGATGTGCAGGTGAGCTCCTCCCTCCCCCTCCCTCCTGGAAATCACTGGATATTCTGTTTTAGGGTCCTCCATGTGTAGGGGACTCATTCTTGCTCGAAGCTGTGCCCTCTGTGGGAGGATACCATAAACCGGGCAGTCCCTCAGCGATCGGGGTGGCCTCCCTCCCTGGTTGCTCAGGATGGCCCCTTTCTTGCAGGGAACATCCCTGCCCACTTTCTGCATGCACAGGGCCTTGACCTCTTTTACAGAGTTCGAGTGGACTTGTTGCTTCGGCACGTCCTCTGCCAGCTCCCCGGCATCCCCAGCTCACACCGGCCCTTATCCTAACCTTTCCGGACCCCTGCCTGCAGAGATGGGGGTGTCACTGGGCAGCGTGCTCCCAGAGTTAGGTCCACATCCTTCTTTGTGTTCTCCGTCAGCCACGGTCAGCGCCCTGACCTGGTCTTTGCTGGGGAATCTCTATTAGACTTGATGGTGGGGAAACTGTACTCCCAGCTGCCACAGACCCTTGGGGATCCCCCTGAGACTCCCCCAAGTCAGCCTGCTCATGGCTTCAGGCTCTGCCGCATTCCTGAGCCCCTGGACTCTCTCCTTTCTGAGCCTGGCCCTGCCTTTCTGTTCTGTTTTTACACGTTACCCATCATTGCTCTGTGTTTGAAGCAGAGGGGTTTAAAGCATGAACTTGGTACCGTTCTGACCCGAAGCTTGCATTTCTTCCTCTCCTGCTGCTCTGTCTTCAAAGGAAAACAGAAGGTAGCTTCTTTTCCTACCTTGGAAGGCTTCAAACTGCCCCCATGGCCTTTTGGTGGATCCCTGTAAGCTGTGGTCGTGGCCACCGCTAGGTACGGCTCCTTGTGCATGCAGGGTTTCCCAGCTTGGGGGCAGAGCTTACGGGGCCCCGTCCTGGCCCTGGCTGCCTCCTGGTCCGGGCTCCGGGGAGCAGCTGGGGGTGCCATGTTCTCCCCACCTCTAGAGGCGCGTGCATCACGCACGGTAGCCTTGCCGGCTGTTAGACCAGCAGGTGCAGGACCGTGCACCTGAGGCGCCAGTCTGCCCCGAGCGCTGGGGTTTCTGTGTGCAGTGTTCACATGCCCCCGTTGTGTTCCTCCCCCTGCTCCTTACACACGTAGGGCAGCCATGCCGCACAGCCCGACCTCCAGTGAGGACGAGATGGCCCAGAGCGTCTCCGACTACTCCGTGGGGTCAGAATCGGACAGCTCGAAAGAAGAAACCATCTATGACACCATCCGGGCCACGGCAGAGAAGCCCAGCGCTACCAGGACGGAGGAGAGCCAGGGCAACACGCTGGTGATCCGCATCCTCATCCAGGACCTGCAGCAGACGGTAGGCCCCATTCGCTCACTTCTGCTCAGTACCCAGCGTGGCTTGGGCTCGAGGATGCCTGTGGTCTCCTCCTGCATGGCCTGTCCTGGTGACGTCCTGCACGTTGTGCACCTGCCCTGCCCTGCTCTCCTTCCCATCAGCTGTGCCTTTGCCTGCCTCATAGCATGCCGCTGGTGCCGTGGTCCACTTACTGAGCATGTATTATGTGCTAGGCAGAGGCCAGGCCTCGAGGGCACAGGGACCAGCCTTGTGGAGGAGATGCCCACAGTGGACGCATTAGTAGGTGGGGCCTCGGCGCCCAGGCGGGCCCTGCCTCTTCCCCTGCTGCTCTGTGCTCGGTGGTACAGGGAGCCCGTGTCCCATGCTCTTTCCCATTTGCTGAGCTACATGTGCTCTGTCTGGCCTGGCCTTGCCCTTGCTGCCCACTGCTGGCTCCCAGTTGTCTCTCAAGGCTTGGGTCCCATGCCGTTTCCTGTGTTGGCCCCTGGTAGCCCTCGGGGCTTCTCGTTGTCCACGGCCCTGGTGTGTGTCCTGCTGCATGCTTGCTTGGTTGGTGTCTGTGGGCCCTTGCTGGTGGTGCCGGCCGCTCCGTGCTTCTGGGAAAACTTCCCCTCCACAGATGCTGTTGGCCCCTCGTTTCTGGGAGCTTTTCTCACCCGCTGCTCCTTCTTCCAGCTTGCGGGTTGGGGTCTCTGTTTCAGGGACAGCAGCCACGCGCCCTTGGGCTTCTCCGTATCTGCCTTCGTCCCCGGCACCTCTCCTCGTAGTCTTCCGTGATGTTCTTGAGCATTCTTTCATGGTGTGTTTACTTGGACCCATCCTGCTCTGTTCCTTGTAATTCCTGCTGGATTGTGGTTGAGATTCCGGCTTTCTGTTTGATTTCCAGCCTTGTGCTGACTCGTCTTGAAAAATCTTCCCTCCCTCCCTCCCTCCCTCCCTCCCTTCCTTCCTTTCTTTCTCTTAACTTTCTTTTTTACTAGGTTTTGTGGCTTCTTCTTTTCCTCTTGTAGATCTTCCTTCTTCTACCCAGGGTGCATCCTCTCCGGATGACTGTGTGTTTGGTTTCCGCCTCTCCTCTTCTCCCGTAGCACATCTTCATCATTCCTGGGCTGTTTCTGGCCGACCCGGGCAGCTGTCAGCAGTGCTGTCCGCCTGTTGCTCTGACCATGTGTGGGCGAGCTCTCCTCATCTCCTCCTGCCCCCGATGCTGAGCGTCCCGCAGACACAGTCCCTCTGCGGGAAACCCCGGGTCCCGGATCGGCGCCAGTGCATCCTTTGGGAACTTCCTACGTGCTTTCCATGGGCCGGATGCCGGGTTAAGGTCCTCACGTGTGTTACTTCTGAGTTTGTGGGACAGCCCAAGCTGGGCAGCACTTGGGAGCGTTGTCATATCACAGAGTGAGCCCAGCGTGTAACCAGCATCGGACGAGGAGACAGAACATCACCCACCCTCAAAGGCCCCACCGATGCCCTCCCGGTCCCGGTGGACCGGTGAGAAGCAGGTGGCCTGGGACACACGGCCCGGAGTCTCCACACCCGCCAGAAGCTGGTGTTGGTTGTGCTCACTCGCTGCTTGATTAGTTTCTGCAGCTCTTTGTCCACAGGGAACGTGGCCCATGGGCAGCCTTGCAGAAGGCATGGCACGGGGTCGGGTGCATCCGAGATGGCTCAGAGCCACACACATTCCCCCCACTGTCCGCCATGTGTTTGGGGAACGGCACGAAAGGTCTCGAGCCTGGGGCCCACCTGCGGGCGTGAAGTGAGCCAGTCAGGCAGGGCGCACAGCCAGGACCAGGGGACAGCAAGTGCCTGTTGAGCGTCTCTTACCTTGATCGGTCTCCTTGGTCAGAGCAGGCGCTGCCCACACCCGGGGGACATTCACCAGTGACAACGGAGAGAGAGGCCATTTCCGTCGTGGCTGTTGTGATGCCCCATGGGTGGCGAGTAAGGGCGTGGGACGTTGAAGTCACCATGACGTGGGTTCTCGCGGGTATAGGGTAGCGGAAGCTGGCCTGGAAGCCCGTGGCCCACTCTTCCTGGCGGGTGGCGTGGTGGGTTCTGTCCACTGTGCCAGAGGCTTTAGGAACCTGCCGGTAATGACAGACAGACACCTGCTCTCCAGGCCCACAGCAATGAAGGTCCGCCAGGGGTTTGGTCTCTACTCCCAGGAGCATAATTGTTTCTGAAACCTTCTAAAGATCACCTCTCTTCACTTTGTTAAGACGAACAAAGCCCCTGGAGGCTGAGACCAGCACTCCCACGGGCATGAACCCCGGCAACAAAGCAGCCGTTGTCCCTGAGTGTGGGTCCTTGCCAGGTTGAGTCCCGGAGCTGGGGACACGAGACGGACCCTGGAATCCCGCCCAGAGGCGCCGTGGGACCTGCTGTGCCAGTCTGTCACCCCTGTGTCCGCCCACCCAAGGGGAGGCGGTGTCTCGAGGAGCCAGGAGGCTGTCCCTCTGCTGTCCCCGGCGCGTCCCCCCCCCCCCCAGGTGCGGTCTGGACCTGTCTCTTCTAAGTGACTGCTGCCCTGAGTCTCACACCTCCAGTGGGAGGAAGTTTTCCACCTCCTGAGCTGGAGTGTCTGGCAGGCCTCCTCAAAGCCTGAGGAGCAGAGTCCTTCCCGGTCGGGGTTCACAGGGCCGTGCAGGGGACGGCACGGTGGGGGGGCGGGCTCTGGATCGCTGCACATGCACAAAGGGCTCAGTGTGGGGTTGAGTGTAGACCGGCCAGCAAACCGGGCCTTTTAAGCGAGTGGCAAGTGTGAAAATCAATAGAAGCTACTCTTCTTCTGTTATTTATAGTTTTGAGGGAAGTGGGGACAGAGCTGGCCCCGAGTGCACGGCGGTCCGGTCTCTACCGCGCCTCTTGTGGCCCATTCCGGCGAGGGCGGGAGGAGCCCGTGACGGGGTCTCCTTGGGGGCACGCAGCGCCAGCCCCAGCGCCCCCGTCCTGCCCAGGGCTTGGCCCCGAGTTGCTCGGTGGCAGCCGCCATCCCCCGTGTCTGTCACGTCCACCACGATCCATCTGGACGAGTCCCCGGAGGTGCAGGGACTGGCCACCTCCTGGCAGGTGCTTTAGGAGAATGACCCCTCTGTCTCCTCCTTTGCTTTACCGATGCTTCCGATGATTATGTATCTCAGCTTTGGTATTTTATTTAGGAAAAAGCGTCTGAGCTGTGATCCTGATCCCCTGAAAGATGATTTATTGCCGTTGATCCATCCTCCCTCCCTCCCTCCCTCCCTCCCTCCCCCCCTCTCTCTCTCTCTCTCTCTCTCACACGCTCAAACTCCTCCCCCAAAGCAGTGGCCTGCTGCGTCCCTGCTGTGCCCTCCTCCCCACCGCTCACATCAGCTGATGGGGACGCTCCGCCATCTATCACTTGCTTCCAAATGGACTGTCAGACATGCTTGGTTTCCAGGTGACCTTGGCCTTCCACTTATCATTGAGGATCAAACTAGAATGCCGGTGGCACAGAGGCCCACCTCCTCCTCCCCCCGGTTTTAACCCCTTCCTCACCTTTCTCCCAGACACGGCACTGTATTTGGTCTTATCTGAGGTCTTCTGCGACTTTGAATGTTGGGACTTCTTCACCCGTCTTGGCCATCTCTGAGCCCCTCTCCTCGTTTGGTAGCTGAGAATCAAGCCCCTACTGCTCCCTATTGGCCTCTCGCTCTACAGAGACTATCCATCATGAGAGAAGGTTCTGAAAGGCCTGGGCAGGAATGGCTTTCTGCCTTGAAAAGCTCCATATTTGAGCACGTTGGTGGGTACACGCTAACTCCTTACTCTTGGCCACTCGGGAGGGGAGCACTATGTGTCTTCTTGTAGGAGTTCATGAGGTCCAGGCTTCTGGGAACAAGTCACCTCCCGGCTCCCCTCCATGAGGGTTTGTCTTAGGACCGTCTTTCCAGAGGGTCTGTGGGTCAGGTATCCCCCTGCCTTGCTCTCCGCGGCTTCCTGGCCCCGGGTGACTGAGCGGCGTGGGGGCTGCGCTGGGGGAGGCACGGGTGGGCCATGCCTGGCTTCCTGGTTCCACTCTGCTAGGGGCTTGTCTCCCATCCATACCAGAGTCCTTTTCCCAGAATATCCCTGCTCTCCTCCGGGACCTCTCTGCCTTCTACTCACCTCTCAGGTGAAGCTCTGGAGTTCTAGGGCTCACTGGTGCTCTTCCCACACGTGTCTGAGTGAGGGATGGCCATGGCCACGGACGCATCTCCAGCTCTGACCTACCATCCAGGGGGCGGAGCTCACTCTCCCTTGACACCTGCTCACTGAAAACTCAACGTTGCCTGGATGGGATACCCGGACCCTCTCTTCCTCTCTCTGACCCCCACGTCTGGTCCCACTGCTGTTCCCTCTCCCAGCTAGTGGTTCACTTAAAGAAAAAAAAAAAACAACTTTATTGAGGTGTAATTTACAAGCCATAAAGTTCACTCATGTTAAGGATACCTCTTCAGTGATTTTGAGTGAGTTTGCCGAGTTGTGCAGACATCGCCCCCATCTGGGTGTGGGATCTTCCATCGCCACCTGCCTGCCCCTCAACCTTGCCCACTTCTAGCCCCTGACACCCACTAACCTGCGTCCTGTCTCTGTAGTCATCCTGTTGTGGGCATTCCGTACCATTGGGGATGGTACAAGGATGTGGCCTTGCGTGTCTGGCTTCTTTCACTCAGGGGAAGAGTTTTGAGGTTCACCCACCAGTGTTTTTCCTTTTATTGGCAAGGAGCACTTCACCGATGGACCATATTTCGTTCATCCATCGGCCAGCGGATGGCCACTTGGGTTGTTTGCACGTTTTGGCTGTGAGCCTCTGATTCTGTTGTCCAAGCCAGCACCCTGGGGTCACCCTGAGTGTTCCTTCTCCCTGGCCCCCTTGCCAGAGTCCACCGCCAGGTCCTGTCCTGCACCATCTGGACCCCTTGGACCTGGGCTCTCCTGTCCGTCTCTCTGACCAGGCTGTCCATACTGCCGTCTCCCCCCCCTCCCCCCCGCCGCCC